AAAAAAAAAAAAAAAAAAAAAAAAAGTTAAAGTACTTTGATTTCATTCTCAAGTTTTATTTTCCAATTGTCAATTTTTGATTCTAGATCATGAACCTTTAAAAAAAAAAAAAAAAAAGAGAATTTTAAATAATTAAAATTTTTTTTTTTTTTTTTTTTTAATGTTTAGTTATTACTTCTTTTTCTTTAGATAATAAACATTTTTTATTTTTCTCATATTTCATTTTTACTTCTTTACAATTTTCATTTTCTTCATTTAAATTTTTTTTATTTTCTATTAATGTATCATTAAAATTAATTTTATCTTCTTCTTTAAATTTATCAAATTTATAATTTGATATATATCTCTCAGCTATGTAGTTTTTATAAATCTGATCCATTATATCAAGTTCTTCTTTTTTTAAATTATTTTGTCTTAGTTTTTGCTCTTCTTCAAGCTTAATATTAAATAAAATAAAATATTAAAATTGATAGATCAGAATAATTATATACACAAATATATTACATGAAATATATAGATCAAATAAAAATTCTAACTTGATGATAAAATAAATTTATATTATGAATTATACTATTTCTATTTTTTAATAAAATTGTTTGATCTTGTTCAAAATCATTAAACATTTTATATATTTCTTCTTCATATTTTTTTTGTAAATTATTCATGTTTTTTTCATGCATTTCCACTAATAAACTTAATTTACTATTTTTTAACTCATCTATTTTTTCTAAAATTTTATTTTCTTCCAAATCATCATTTAAAAACAATAATAATTTATCATTAATATTTTTATTTATTTCATAATTGCTAATTTCTTCATCTATATTTTTTTTAAGTTGTTTTAACTATTATAAATAAAAAAAAAAAAAAAAAAAGTTTTACTTGGTACATTTTTTTTGCAATATTTTTTTTTTACTATGGGAACTGTTAAAATATTTTTACTTATTTGGCTTTATAAAGTATTAATTTTTTTTTTGTTATATTATTTTTTTTTTCTTTCTTATTATTTAAATTTTTATATCCCATTTTTTTTTTTTACTTTTAAATTTCTTAACAACTGTATCCATCTTAAAATAGTAGGTGGTTGATCGATTTTTTTTTTATTTAATAATTTTTGCTGTTAAGAAAAAAAAGTTAAAAGGAAAAACTAAATATATATTAATATAATTAATTATGTATATTTTTTTAGTATGTTTTTCAATTTTTATGTATTTTTTAAATATTCATACTGCTGATGTATCTATCTTAGGTGCATTAGATTTTTTTTTTAATTTTTTATTATCCTTTTTTTTTTTATTATTATTTTTTATCATTTTTATAAAACAAGATAAAGATAAAGTCCATTATATTAGAAATGAATAATAATACTTCATTCTCTTAATAAATTTTCATGTTAATAAAATAACTCTACAAATATGATTTTATTTCTTTGAAGTTTATTATCTTAATTTTTAATAATTGTTTTAATTCTATGATTTAAAATAAAATAATATTTGAAAAAAAAAAAAAAAAAACATGAT